TAAACAAATAAAAATTAAAAATTAAACAAAAAAAATTTAAATCAAAAAATTTTTTTAAATAAAAAATTATGTAAAATCTCTCGTAAATCATGCTGCATGCAAATACAAAAAATATTGACGTCAGTTGCCATGTGAAAACGTTGGGGCTTAAAACCATGCAGTACTGAGTGTTGCAAAAAATTGTAAAATATTATAAGAACAACAACATATAAGAACAACAACACAACAAATACAAGTGTTTACATGTGTACATACCTGCGGTGCCATGCCGATATTGGCCGAAGTCAGTCCGGCGCTCTGCTGTTCGTTGTAGGCGCCCAATGATGCCAGATGCTCGAGCAGCTCGCGATTCTGCTGCAGCAGTTGCTGTGTGCGTGCCTGAAATCGGCCAAAAAATTATTATTAATAACACTCAAAACTACAGCCTCTTTTGCTAATGCCATTTTCAATATCATTCTGAAGTAGTTTATAAACAAGTTTATTACAAAATCAATTCAGTTTGATACTAAGTGTTCATTAGGCAAATTAAATCGTGCAAAAGTATTTTTAAAGTAATTTAAATATTCGGTTTGCTATTGATGGAAGAATTTTAATTTGAGAATCTTTGAAGTTCTTTGTTTTAAATAAAGAAATGCGATAGAATTGTAGAAATTATATGATTATCAAAATGGGCTGAATTTGCTTTGAGTATACTATACTTATACATACATTTCCAAATTTTCAAAATCAGGTTAATTAGTTCAAAAATTAATTTCTTGCATTTTTTTAATTTGGTAATAAAATTTCATTCTACATTGAAAATAATTTTTGCTAAAATTGTTCAGCTTTGATTTTAGTTTGGTTCCTGTGACTTTTATTCAAGAAATTTTAGGAATATTCCTTATCAAAATTTTTAAAAATTTATTATCGTCAAACAAAAGGAATGATTTTTTTTTTACATTATGCCGCTATCTACACACAAATGCTAAAACCAATTTTTTATTCAAAATATATTAAACATAATACGTACATACATATATATAAAGTTCACTAGGATACAATAATGAACTTCTTTCAAATTAACAAAAAAAAATATATCTAAACCATGTTGCATGTACCTTTTTTCTTAAATTAAA